CCGCCTCTCCCGCGAGGACCAGCTCTGGCGCCGGGTTTGCTCAACCTCCTGGCCGTCAACCACTCATCCGCGAGTCCAGCAGGCCATTTCCGCTTTCCCTTCCGAACACCGATCCTTCTTCTCTGACGTTTTTCCGGTGCTCGATTGCCGATCGCTACGGTGTGACCTCAACCGTTCCTCTTCCTCCTCCACCTCTGAATTGATCTCTGCCGTCGACATTCATTACAAGGACAAACTCCTGTTCTCGAAAGTTCACTCAATCGAGACGAAGACGAATTGGTTCCTCGGCTCTCCATTTCGAGTTGACCTAATCGACCCGAAGGATTCGATTCCGTCGCCAATTAGACGCACGGAGAAATACGAAGATTGGCTAGGGCATCTAGAGGAGAATCTAACGGTGAGTTGGATAGTAATCGATCCGATTAAGAATCGAGCGGCGAACGTCTCGAGTAGGCAGCCAGTGAAAGCGCGATGGCAGTGGTTGTCCGGCGACATAGAGGTGGAATACACGACGGTGATGGGCGGCGACGGGAGGATAGGGTCGGCAGAGGAGATGGTGGAATGTGCGGTGGTGGTGAGTTGCGGGGAGAAGGAGGAGGAGGAGGAGGGGATGAAGATGAGCGTAAGGGAGGTGAGTATGCGGATGTTGGACATGGAAGGGAAGCATTTGAAGGGGAAGGAGAGTATGGAGATTTTGGGGGAAGCCATGGAAAGGGGGAAGAGAATAAGGGGGAAGAAATGGGAAGGGAAGTTGAGGTTCAGAGAATACGAAGAGCGGCGGAGGTTGAGGAAGGCCAGGAAGGAGAGGACAGAGAATGCTTTGGATACGCTCTGTATTTTCACTGGAATCGCCATTCTCTTCTCTTTCTGCTCTTTCTTCTTCTTCCTCTTCCTCTCCACGTAGATATACCGTTCCTGAATTTAATTACATTACAAATATATTCCCTCTTAATTATTTCACATTTTCACTATTTACTGCCTAAATATTTCATCAAATAGATCAAATAATTTTCTATCTAATTATGTCAATAAATATGAATATTTGGAGTCGGTGCCTACTAACGTCAATACCAACAAGTGGGCTTCGACAATACCAACAAGTAGGCTTCAGCCCATCACAAAAACCCAATTAAATTATAAAAAAAAAAAAAAAAAAGAGGTCCCACCGAAATTCCAACAAGTGGGCTTCGGCCCACCAAAAAACCCAATTAAATTTAAAAAAAAAGGTCCCACCGAGATTTGAACTCGGGTTACTGGATTCAGAGTCCAATGTCCTAACCACTAGACCATGGGACCACGTTTTTTAAACTTTATAAAATCAGCAATTTGGATATGTTGATTATTTTTATTTTCTTAAAATTGTATTGTATTCACTATCCAATCAAATTGATTTTTTATTTATTTATATGAATACAAGATTCAACATCTATTTTATAATATGATAATCATAATATAACTGAGAATAATTTTGCAGAATAATGATTTTTGAATTAAAGATAAACAATAATTAAGAAATAAATGCAATATTGTATAACGTAAATACAGTAATTATGTGGTAAATAGATGGTTGAGTATTGGAACTATTGAAATAAGTATCTCATGCTAAGTAATTAATAAAAAAAATTACAGATTTAGAGATAATTAACACTGGTATGAAAGTTATACTAAGAAAGTTTGTAGCTTGTAAGGTTGAGTAGGGAAATAGGGTCAAAGGGAGAGGTTTAAAAGGTAGGTATAATATTATGAGTCTACAATGATAAATGTTGATTGTATCTAAAAGTCACCACCAACTTCCTTTTGTACCCTTTTACCCCATATTTTGTCTTTCCTTACTGCCTTCCTAAGAATATCTGTCTATCAAATTTCCTTTCATTGTTTCTCTCTACTTTTCAACTCAAAATCTCGGGGGCATAAGCTCAACTTTTGAATACACAAACAAACACAAACCCAAACAACAATCCCCTCCCCTTTTTTAAGTGACAAGACTAAGTGAGTGATATTGTCCACTTTGAACATGCAACGCCTCGTATTATTCTTTATTTATAAACTCAGGATCATTCAGTAAACTGGGGTGGCTAGGAATATGTCATTTACACGTGGACCCCCTGATGGTCTGTTGATGCCTACGTGGCTGCCAACTCATCTCTTTCCCTCTTAAGATTTCTGAAACAAAGGTATTATTCCCATTCAAACAAACAAACGCCTTCTTTCTTTGGTTCTTTTTACCCTCTGTGTTTTTTTGTTACTGGGTTTCGAGATCCCTTTGACTCAACACTGCCCGCCCGACCAAAAAATAGAATCTTTAATACTTTGGATTTTTTTCGTCGCTGAATTCAAGGCTTACTCTTTCAAACTTTCCTACTATAAACCAAAACCCTCTCTCACGCTCACATGAACTCCACCGTAATTTCTGCAACGCCCACCGCCGAGTAAGTAAACTCTTCACAGAAAATTCCAACCTCTCGGGGTTTCCTTTTTTGTTCTTCCCCCTTTTTAGTTCTTTCGAAACATAAATAATGTCTTGGACAGACCAGAAAACAGAGAAGAAATGTAAGATTAGAAAACGAGTGTGTTTATCGTCGCCGTCTTCTTCCACTTTGGTCCGTAAGTATAGGTTCAAGAAGCCACCCACTTGGAAAATGAACACGAAATCCCATTCTTCCAAGTTATCCTCTGGCGACCTCGCCAACCAGTCGCCGTCATGCTCAGTCGACAGCGGCGGCGGAAAGGGTAAACAATGCTCCGTTTCAGTTTCAGCCCGGAAATCAGCGGCGGAGAAAACCCAGAAGTTGAAGAAGGAGGTAATCAAAACCCAGGAATTGGTTTCTCAGATCTGGCACTCGTGTTTATCAGATCCGGATCCGAGTTTCAACATCTTAGAAACAGAGGTGAGTTTATGATTTTGATTTCGGTATTGAACTCTGGAAAGTGGGATTCGATTGATTAAACTCGTTTTTTAAAAATTTTAGAAGGTTGAAGGTGGCAGAGTACAGGGAAGAAGAAGAACAACAACAAGAACAGGAACAGGGGAGGTGATGGGTGGTTCGAATTTTCATGGCAAAGACTGTTTAATGGAGGTACGATTCATCCATTATTGCTTCCTTTCCACGAAATCATCAATTCTATTCTCTTTTCACCCATCACTTGTTTCGGTTCCTGTCATTTTCCATCTGTACTTCTGCGGCACCCTTTTTTTATTTTTTAATTTGATTTTTCAAATATTTTAATTCAAGAAAGAATCCAAATGATTAATTATATATTTCTTTAACATCAACAGATTCGCTGTAATTATATTCTTTACCAGATTTGATTATTTTAAACACAATTTCTAAAATTAAATCAATGCAGATTGAAAATGGTAATGTGGTGAAAACCCGTTTGAAGGAAGTGAGCAATTGGCTGACGACATCAAAGGAACTTTTAAGAGTTTTAAATCATGTTTGTGGACATGAAGAACAGCGGCAATCATCAGCTTTGTCTCTGATTTCAGCTCTGAAATCAGAGTTGGATCGAGCGAAGAGCGGAGTGGATGAATTAATAGTGAAAGAACAGAGCTTCCGTGACGATGAAATTGAGGTTGTTATGAAGGCGGCGTGGAAGAACAGAGAGAGAGCTATTACTTCAATGGCGGATGAAATTGAGGTTGAGAAGAAGCGTAGAAGACAAGCGGAGAGATTGAACAAGAGCATTGCGAAGGAGCTTGCTGACACCAAAGCGTTGGTTTCGAAATTAAGGAGAGATTTGCAGAGGGAGAAGAGAGCGAAGGAGATTTTGGAGCAGATTTGTGAGGAGTTGGCGGCGGGGATCGGAGAAGACCGGGCGGAGTTGGAGGAGTTGAAGAGGGAATCGGCGAAGGTAAGGGAAGAAGTGGAGAAGGAGAGGGAAATGCTTCGTTTGGTGGATGTTTTACGGGAGGAGAGAGTTCAGATGAAGCTGTCGGAGGCCAAATTTGAGTTCGAGGAGAAAAACGCCGCCGTGGAAAGACTTAAACACCAGCTTGAAGGCTATCTCGTCGGAAATGATGAACATGAACAAGACCATTGTTGCAACAAATTTGAGAAAATTAAGGAATTGGAAGCGTATTTGAAGAGAATCAATTTCGGGTCATGTCGAGATCAAGATCAAGAACAAGAATGTTCGGATTCAGAGGAAAGTGATCTGCACTCGATTGAGCTCAACATGGACGACGGCGATGACAAGAAGAGTTACCGATGGAGCTTCGTCCATGGCGGCTCTCAAAAGAACTCATTAGAAAAATCAAATCCCATTTCTGAGAAAATCCAATGGGGAAGTATTTGCTTGAATACAACTAACCCATCGACGGCCACCCACCAACAAAATTCAAACAGATTTTCGGAGCTTTTTACTCATAATCTTCAAGAACAGGGCGATGATCATCAAGTTAAATCTCTCAACTGCCTTCGAGATATTCTGTTTCCAGAAACAACGCCAGAATTGGATCAAATTCCAGCTGCTAAAACGGATAATCATAATGGGATTCCACAGATTATGAAGGGATGATCATTAATACACATAATTACGTATAAAAACTCTGTTTTTCGTTTTCTTTTTCATTGGGAATTACTTTGATTAAGAATCTTTTCTTCTTCCACACATCATATATATTATTCAATGCTTCCAAATGGCTACTTTCGGTGGCTTTAAGGAAGAAAATACGACGGAAAATGTAAATAGACTGCCACCATATCCAATATATTATTTTAAATTTCTAATTTTTTTTTAGCCAATTTCATGTTAAAATTGATCGAGTAAGCCCGACTAGTAGTTGATGAGGTTAGTTTTTTACGGTACCCAAATGAAACAACTAAAAGCTCTGCTTTGATCTCATTTGTTGTACCTTAATATCCGAACAAATTTCTGGTCTCTATTGGTGCTAGTCAATCACTATAACCAAAGTGTTTGCAAAGGTATCTCTAGTAAATAAAAAAATGACAATGACTATACATCTCAAAATCAAAATCACGCTAGACCATACTAAACTGTTTAGCAATAGGTGATGGTTGCATTCGGCACCAGACGGGCAAAGCGAAGCAGCGTGGTTGGTTCGAGTGGGCGGAGAGGCAGCGAGCACGTGAGAGACGGCGGAGCAGGGGGGGAACGAATCTGAATACTGGAGCAACCCGGGAGCAGAAACGAAGAAAAGCATAACGCGAAGCACAAGACGGCTTAACCGAGGTTGACGGCGGAGTCGAGAAGTTTTGTTTTCCTAATTCCGGAAGCCTTAAAGAAACGAATTCCAGTTAGAATTTGTGACGAACAAAACCAACACAAACTGGAATCCAAGGGGAAGGGGAAGGGGAAAATGGGAGGAGTTTCAAGAGAGGCGGAGATGTCAATGGCAGCTCTGTCCATGTTCCCCGGCTTCAGATTTTCCCCCAAAGACGAAGAACTGATTTTATTTTACCTCAAGAAGAAGCTCCAAGGCTCCGACGACAGCGTCGATGTCATTTCCGAGATCGAGATTTGCAAATTCGAGCCATGGGACCTTCCCGGTTTGCCCTTTTCTCCTTCCTTCCTTCCTTCCTTCATCACTTCCTATCTAAACAGGGCTGATTTGGTGATTTTTAATTGGGCTTTCACAACAGGGAAATCGAGAATCCCTTCCGACAACGAGTGGTTCTTCTTCTCTCCGAGAGGAAGAAAATACCCAAACGGAACACAGAACAAGAGGGCGACTGAATTGGGGTACTGGAAGGCCACCGGAAAAGAGCGAAACGTGAAGTCCGGCTCGGAGATTATCGGAACAAAGAGGACTCTGGTTTTCCATTTAGGACGTGCTCCAACAGGGGAGAGAACAGAGTGGATTATGCACGAGTATTGCTTGAACGACACCTCCCAGGTCAAATTCAATTGCAATTCTTCCTTCCTTTTCCTTTGCTGCTTACCTAAACTTCTGTATCACTGCAGGATTCTAATTCCATGGTGGTTTGTCGTCTCCGGAAGAACAACGATTTTCGCCGGAACAACTCCGACAAGGCGGGTTCGAGTAAAGTGCAGGGTTCCGGCGAGGATGGGGACGGCGGAGTTGGACAGAAGGTGGGGGGTGAAAGCGATAGGCTTTCGAAGAACTGCAGCAGTAGTTTCGATTCTCACTCGCTGGAGCAAATTGATTCGGGCATTGAATTCCACCGCAAAGAAACGTCCGACCCGGCGCTGCACGAATCCCTCAGTCGTGAAAAGGTCAGCTTCATCAGATTCTCACGTTCAATTTCACAATTCCCAAATCCGTCACTAAATTTCTTTGCCTTTTTTAAAAATTTCTATTTTATTTTTTAATATTAAAAATAGTTATAAATATATAATTATATGTTTTTTTTTTTGTTTTTTTTTTAAAGAACCATAGCTAGCCCAACTCAAATAATTTTATAATCCAATCCAAATTATATCGAATTAGATTGATAGAATTTTTCGAGTCATAAGAAAATGATTGGATGTCAATCTCTTGAAGGGTAACGATGAAGATGAAGAATTGTATGCAGATTTGTTGAAAGACGACATAATTACATTAGACGATAATTTGCTATCTGCAACTCAAAATCCAACTCCGATGATCATGAACTTCTCAGAATCGGAGAAATACACCCACTTGCCCATACCGACCGCATTGTCAGAGGCGGAGGCCTCGCCGTGTCAAGGCAGCATCACGAGGAGAATAAAGTTAAAGAAGCTAGAGCGTAACAACGTCTACATTAACATTGGCCTTCTAACATTTCTTCTCATCATTTTTATAGCTTCTCTTCATGTACTTTGTAACTTATAATTATCATGTTCATTATTACATTTACATTTATGGTTATGTTAATGTCACTCTCTTTTATTTATTTGTTTTCAAGCATTTATACATATTATAGTTGACCATCGGTATCATATATTATTTATTAAAAAAAAAAGAAAAAAAGATTTCGTCTTTTATAGCCTATTTTGATATATTAGACTATTAAAGTATATTTTAGTCTTTAATTTTTTTAAAAAATTATTTTATCTCAAAATTTTTATATGCCTACTTTATTCTAAATAATTGAAAAATAACTTTAATACTAAGTATATTAAATCAACCAATTAAATACCTATATGTGAATTTATGTATTTATTACAAAACAATATGATGAAAAGTAAAATAAATATTCTTGAAAATGTTTAGAGACAACAAAAAAATTATTACTATTATTCTTTTTTTGTTCCAAGATTTATAAACTTTTAAGACAATGTTATTATAATTAGTGCTGGTGTGGTCACTTGCGCGCGTTAAAACGTGAAGCTGAAGCGCGTCCAAATTGGAAGCAGTATCTTCTTGTTTGTCGGCGATCTTCTGAAATCGCAAAATAAGCTGTTTGCCATCTTCCAAAGCTTCGCCGCAGCCGGTTTACAGTTGAATTGAAGGGTTCGTGACTATCTTCCGCTTCCTTAATTTTCAAGCGATCCACACTGTTCTTCAAAAGTGCGGAACCGCTTTCTGATTCGCCATCTTACGTCAAGTTTAGATAAAAGAAGCTACCACGAATTCTCCGCTTGATCTTCGACTTAGGGTTTTTCTCAATTCTCATAGCTGTCCATAGGTAAGTTCTTTTCTTCATTTTCGATATCCTGAGTTCAATTTAAGCCAATTCGATCATTGTTTGAACCTCATCCGAGGTCCAATCGCTACGCCCAGGGTTGCTCTGTGAATCCTGATTTTCAGGCTTGTTTTATGTCTATGCGAGGTCTTTTATGCGTTCATATAAATCAATGCGGTGTGATAGTTGAATCTTATCTTAATCATGTGCAGATATATCGACAGCCCTTTGTAAAGATGTCTAGATCCATGTTACTTGTGTTTTTGTTCGTTATTCTCATTATCACTTCTCAATTCGAGTGGAAGCAACAACTAGTACCTGAGGTTGATACCAGGGTAAACTCCCAGAAGCAGCAACAGATATCAACGAGGGAAGAAGCAGTTAAGGAGAAGGTAATATGTCCTCTACAATTACACCATCAACCGTACCGTTTTCTTTTAAATGAACTTATGCTTTATGATGGCCTAAATTGAAGTACTTGTGAATATCCGTTTGTCATTTGTTTAGGGTGGCTGAATGATTAGTTCAGGCACACAGGGGTGTAGAGTGTGGATCGGTAGCGGTGTCTATCGTGCTACATTCAGGGTGCAGGATACTTTCTAATTATGTAATGTAGTGATTTCTTTTCCCTGGGTATAACTTTAGGATGGCATGTTAAATAGTTTGGCTGGTCGAGCAATAGAAGAAGAATGAATTAGTAATAAATTTAACTCGAGAATTCTAGGAGTTCTAGGATAGGACTAGTGAGCGAACATTGGCTTCCATTATGAGTTTCATTTCCCCCCTAAAAAAAGAAAAAAGTGATCCTAATGCGGTAATATTTAGTTTTCAGGCTGTGACGCTGTGTAAAATGCATTCATTTCCTCTCTATGTGATGCACTAGAAATAAAATAGTAATCTGGCTGATACTCTTGGCAAGATTTCACCAATGAACATTTTAATGATTTAGCATATACATGGCAATAAGTTTACTAATCGAGCCTTTGCTGTGGACATTGTACTGGGTTTGAAGCAGCAATTGTAACTATTGCCAAATTAACGCTTGATTTTTCTGTGGAAGTGTCTAAAAGATATGGAGATTACCTAATCTATCTGAATTTTATGAATCTTTGTTTTTAATTGTTATATTTTGATTATTAGCAAGCCACTCTTTGAGCTATGTTTGAAGAAAATGTCTTAATTACCAATTTGGTTATATCTCATGTCATTTATTAAACTACTTTTTGTTCCAGATGTTACCTTAATTTTATGACATTAAAAGCTTGCTTGTCCTACTAGAGAAATGAAGGAAGTATAGGTCCTAAGTAGATTGTATGTCCTGGCTAGGAAAGGAGTTGCTCCACACGGTTGCTTGAAAAGTAGCGATTATTTTTTGTTTTCTGCCTAAGGTTAGACTTGAATGAAAAATATTTATGTTCTGCATATGGTCAAATGAAAGCTTAAATTATATCTACCCCTGAAAAATGAGCTACATGTCACTGAATGCTGAGGCCAGTTAAATCATAAAGGCATAAATTCTTAACCAGGTAGAGAATCATTATCATCCTCTTCATTCTGAGTGCTGTTTGTTGGCCATTTTTTTTTTCCTATCTGCCTTCCAATTAGTGTAAGTTTCTTTTTGAATCTCTTGTGTGATCCTATAATGTGTTATCTGAGTCACATAGATGAGCCCTTGAGATTGTATCTGTTAAATATTTCCTTCATTTTAAATTTTTTTAAGAATTCTTCTTTGAGCATGCCTTTAAAGAAATTTATCGAACTAGGAAATGTGTGTATCTTACAATTTTATGTTCAAACTAAATATCGTGTTGTAATTTTAAATTTTGACTACATTTTTTCGGTTTGTTATAAATTATACATTTCTGTTTCATGGAGTTATTGAAGGGGTGATTTTGAGTTTATCAAAAGTTGGAAGACATCTTCAAAACTTGTATAGGAGCAGAATTGAAAACTATTTGTTTAGGGGTTGAAAAAGTAATCTGGCCTCGAGTAAATGATAAGCATCTTTTCAGCCTAAAATCTTTTCTGTTGAATGTTATAGACTTAATTAACTATACCAATAGAAGTTAGGTTTAGCTTGACGACTCCTCCATGCTCATTTTAGATAGAACCATGGGGCGCCTTTTTGGGTAAAAAACAGAAAAAATATAACTACAAAAAGAAAAAGGAGGAGGGATATGGGTATCTGCACCCGGTAAGCCCATTTAACAGGGACAAAAATAATAAACCAGTTGAAAGCTGAATTGGACAGGCACAAAATTTAAAAACCAGATTAAGAGAATCCTGAAGTCTAATTTTTATTATGATCGTCACCGTCATTATATTTTTATTTAGATTCATATCCTGACTTGGGCTGTGGCACGTTGAATTGCATCTGGCTTTACTTTCAGATTTGGTATAAACGATGCTGGTTGCTGAGAGGATGATAAGTTACAGGAATTCAAAAATCTGTCAGTTGATGTGGCAGAACTAATGAATTAATAGAAGTTCATAGAGAAACATCATACCAATCCCAAACTTCAATTGCTTGAGCATTACCTACGAGCCGCCATTTTAGATGGAATGTATAACATGACATCAAGGGGGATCGTGGGGTTCTTGGAAGTGCTGGTACTTATATTTTATTACCTGAGGAATAGACAGTTTCGTGCCACCTTCCCAGATAGACAACTTATCCTGCCGTTTAGTTCCCATTTTTGTCTGAGCTTTGTTTTCTACATCGTGATATTCTACTACGTTTTCTATTCTAGTATAGTCATTTTACACCTATTCTATTGAATTGGTGCAGATATTGTTGTCTCAAGAAAGGAATATCCAGAGGCTCAATGAAGTTGTGCGAAGCCTCCGGGAACAGCTGCAGCAGTGCAGAGGCAGGAACATTACGAATGGGACAGCCCTTCTGAGTGGACATATTCTTGAGCTCGAACGACTTCATGTATTAGAGGACTGATGCAAGAACTTCATGGCCAACCACTGATTGCTCGTCTATTCACTGGTTTTGGTATGGCTTTTTCTTATGTAGATATATCTCCTAAGTTCATAATTGTTTGGCATGTTATTGGCCGTGGATAAAAATATTCCACCAAGCATGAAATGTAATTCTCCTACCAAGGTAGGTTTTTCTGTTCCTCGAAGATGAGAGGGATGTACGATTTAAATTTAATGATAATCTTGGTTTATCATTAATTTCTCCTAGTAACTATCGGCACTATTTAGGCTCAATTTGCAACCTTAGTCCCCAAGTTTGGGGGGGTGGGGTCCCTGATCTCTAGCTCTCTTTATATTATTATTTTTATCTACAATTTGAATAAATATTAGAAAAACTAGCATGAGGGATGGTGAGCCAATTGAGCAGAGATGAACTCATTTAGATTCTCTACAATGGTATGATATTGTTTATTTTGAACATAAGCTCTCATTGTCGGACTCCCTCCCAACAATCCTCAACAATCATTCCCTCGATCAAAGTACACCACAAAACCTCTCCTGAGCCCTATGTAGCCCTCAAACGACCTCTCCTTAATCAAGGTTCGACCTCTTTCTTTGGAACCCTCAAACAAAGTACACCATTTGTTCGATACTTGAGTCACTTTTGACTACACATTCGAGGCTACCAACTTCTTTGTTGACACTTGAGGATTCAATTAGTATGGCTAAGTTAAGGGCATGACTCTGATACCATGTTAGGATCTTCACAATTGTATGATATTGTTCACTTTCAGCATAAGCTTTCATAGTTTTGCTTTTGGTTTCCTCGTAAGGCCTCGTACCAATGAAGATGTATTCATTATTTATAAACCCATGATCATCTCCTTAACTAGCCAACGTTGGACTCCCTCCCAACAATCCTCAACAATATGTACTATCGACTAAGAAGTCGAAAGTTTGAATGTCTACCATACACATTCTAGAACTAGAAAGCATGAAGAATCAACCAATTATGATCAGCAACATTGCTGTAAATTTCATTTTCTTCCAATTTTAGGGCCTAAAGGCATATATTTCTGTCCGTAGGCTTACAAGTATGATACCTTTATCTATGTTTCCATTAAAATGCCGTTATATCTTGGTGAGACATTCATTTCTATTACCATTTTGTCAAAGTAAAATTATTGTACCCTCCTATTTTACTAGCCTTGTGTGTCTTCCTTCTAGAAACATATTCTGGTCCTTTTTTTTTATTTTTTAATTTCATCTTTTAACTGTTTAAGATTGTTTTATCAATTTGTGTCTTATTATTCTTTTTATCAAATGTCTACTCTCACTAA